TGGGTAGTGGTGTGTCCAGGGACCAGCACAGGTTGCAGGAGGGAAGGTCTGACCTCACTGGGCTGGGGCATTGATCTGGCTTGGGTCACAGGTGGCTGTGATGGTGGGGGCTGGAGCCTGGTAGCCTTGACCATACTGGCACCAGCCCACTGAGCTGGTGTAGGGGCACACCCTGCTCTGTGTCCCTTGCATCTGCTTCCAGCTCCTGGAACATGTGGCTGCCCTGTTCTGCTCCACACTTACCTTAGCCCCAGGTCTTGCCCCAGTCCCAGGTCCATCCCATCATCCAAACCCACTACCAGCCTATAGCCCCGTATCCTAGAACAAGGCCTGCCTCAGGCCCGGCCAACTCCAAACCCAAACAAGGACCCCGCCTGGGGCCTGCCCTTGGTGACTAGTTCAGGTTAAGTCCAGGTCCAGGAACTCACCTTATACTGAAGGAAGGCTACCTGCAAGGCCTTCACCTGACGCCTCAGAGCAGCGATGTCTGCAGGAGAGAGATGCCCAGTGAAGACCAGTCCCTCACAGCCAGGGATCGGCTCAGAGTCTGGGTCCCAAGGGAAGGGTGCTCAGTGACAGGCTTTCCTGGGGGAGGGTAAGGAGCTGGGCCCAGGAAGCACACCGCCACTGACACAGCTGGCCCTGCTGCCCACAGGTTCCCTGAGGCTCTGTAGTGAGCACACTGTGCCCTGAGCAGGTCCTGTCGCCCTGCTAATTCTGATCCAGATGGCATTTCACAGCAAATTCTGAGTCTGGGAGCACATCGCTGGGGGGAGAAATGGCATTGCACATCCCTGAAGTACTCCCCATCCCTGGGTTATTTGGTGCTCCAGGCTCTCTTTTGGGAGTTGGTTTAACTGAGGTCCTACATTCCCCTGCATTCCTGAGGGACCTTCTGTTCCAGCTGGCCTGGGCACACCTGCAGGTCCCAGAGGTCCTGGGAAAAGGACCAGCCAGTCAGTGCACTGAGTCTTCTCAGAAGGGGGAGAGCGTGAGAAGGTGAGAGCAGTCATAGAGGTCAGAGACCAGCACCATCCTACAGACGCCGCCCAGCAGTATTACAGCCTTCCCTGCATGAGCCCAGTGCCATGTGCAAGGCACCCTTTTTCCTGGGATGGGTATGTGCATCTTCCTGCATGGCCTAGTGGCAGGCATTGCAATCCACGCCCACTGCTTACCACGTGTCCCCGATTCTCCCTTCCGTCCAGGTTCTCCAGCAGAGTAATTTTCCCCTTTAAGGACATACAGTGTCTCCATTGCCCCCGTCTCTCCTGATGAACCTGTAGCAGCAGAAGAAATGGGCATAAAACTGGCCCTGGGCCTAGGAGGAGCAGCACCTGCAGGTCAGCCCTGCATTCTTTCAGCTTCCGCAGGTGTAGACATTCCACCTTCACACTCCTCAGTCCAGTGGTGACCCAGGAGACGGGTGTGCACATCCCCGTTTCACAGGTGAGGCAACAGGGCTGCCAGAACTGGAGGGGTGGTTAAGCCAAGAACTGTCTTATGTCCATGCAATGCACCCTCCCTGCCCCGAGACTGAGGATTTACAGCAGGGGATCTGCCAGCTTTTACCCTGGATCATGGACTCCTTGCTTTCCCCTTCCTAGGACCAAACTTTATATCAGAAATGATCCCTGACATGAGTCACCAGGGAAATGCAAATAAACCCACGAGATAATCATCTCTCCCCTCCTAGAATGGCGACTATAAAAAACACAAAAGCTCACAAGTGTTGGTGAGGATGAGGAGAAGAACCCTTATGCACTGTTGCTGGGATTATAAATTGATGCAGCCCCTATGGAGACCAGTATGGATTTTCCTTAAGACATTAAAAAGATCATTTTTTAAAAAATTATGATCCAGCAATACCACTTCTGGGTTTTATCCAAAGGAAATAAAATAGTAATTTGAAAGATACCTGTACCCTCATGTTCATTGCAACATTTCTTACAGTAGCCAAGAGATGGAAACAACCTAATAGTGCCCATAATGGATGAATGGATTAACAATATCACAAACATACACTGGAATATTATTCAGCCATAAAAAAATCCTACCATTTGCCATCAACATGAATGGATCTGGAAGGAATTATGCTAAGTGCCATCAGTCATACAAATTAAGACAGATACAGTATGATCTCACTTATATCTGGATTCTAAGAAACAAAATAAAGAACCTGAACTCATAAATGCGGATATCAGATTATTGGTGGCTACATAAGATGAGAGCTGGGTGATGGGCAAAACGGGTGAAAGTCAAAAGCTACAAACGTCCAGTTATACAACATGAGCTCCCTTTCTCCCCCTCTGTAGTGCATTTAGGTAAATCCTTTTGATCAGGCAGGTCTGAATGTGGGGCCACAGGGCCTCATCTTTGCCCACCTCTCATGCAGTAGAATTAGTAGATATTTCACACACTGCACAGAAATCATTACACCACAATGAACAACTATAAGTGCCACAGCTTGGTTCTATGGGGCCCCAAAGACCAGCCATTTACCCACGATTTGCTCATTCTTGGGGTGAGAGGAAACAGAAGATCTTAGGGGAGGAATTCAGACAGCTAGGGGAGAGGAATAATACCTCGGGTCTCAGGGCAGCCTGTCATTTGCCAACTGGTAACGAGGTGCTTTAGGTGGACTGAATGTCTAGGGGACTTCTTCCCAAGGAGGTGGGCTTCCATTTCCAGGGCTTCCACGCAGAACATCCAGAGTTGCTGAGTTCGTTACAATTCCAGTGCCCACCATGCCCACCAGAACAAGCCCACGGTCCCAGCTTTACCTGGATCCTCCTTCTCGCCCAAGGGGCCCTCTTTTCCATCTTGTCCATCAAGATCAGGCAGTCCAATCTCCAAAGGACTACACGTGACCAGGGTGCAGTTATCAATCAAAGGCTTACGGGGAAGGGTTGCCCCTTCTGCTCCCCATGATGTTGGAGGCTGTATGAGCAGAACCAGCATGGAGAGACGAAGAAACAGGGCCTTCAGGGTGGACAGAGAGAGAAAGGACGTGCTCTTGGTTCCAGAACACGGGTTAGTAATTAGCCCAGTGCCTGGAATTCAGAGGCACTTTTCTAACATCTCGCCCCTTCTGTGGGATCAGGAGCAGCAGGACTCCAAAAGCAATTTAGGACAAGGGGGCCATACGGTCTGGCCTGGGAGGGCATGAGTTACCCATCTGAACTCTGACATGGGTTATCAGCAACATCTACCTCTTCTCAGATGCCCCATTTTGTCCCTTCTAGTGACTTCCCTTTCACTGCCATCGGCACGGCTAGGATGTGAACTCCTCACTGAGGCCACCTGTCACATCAGGAAGGACTCATGAAGTGCCTTTGTGGATATTTTTTCCAGGTGGCCTACCATTCCTGGACTAGACACTGTCTCCATGAAGAAACTTCCGGATGGAACCCAGAAAAAGTTCTCAGAATAGCTGGGAAGACCCTGGGACGCGTAGAGTGCTGCCCCTCCACCTGGGACTACTCGGGAGAGGGGCCTTTTGGAGGAGGGCATGTGAGGTGAGCTCTGTCAGGGAAAGGGTGGCTTTAGGTGGAGAAAAAACAGATGTTCAATAGGGTGTCCAGTGACATGTGAGAGGGACTCTGCAGCTAAGTGAGGTCAGGGTGGGTGCAGGACCTGCTCACTCCCAATGGTGGGTTCTTTCCTCTTGAGAGAAACTGTAAAGTTGGGAGCCAGGAAAGCACCCACGGGAGTGGCCGAGGCTGAGAACAACCCTGAGGGACAGAGTGAACGGGAAGGGATCGCCAGGCAGCCTGAGGGGGAGGCAGTGGAGGGCCTTCCTTGCCACAGAAGTGCTTTCTTCTCCACCTGCTGGTGGTTCTGGGCTGTGGAGGACCCTGTTGGCACCAGTTCTTTCTCATTCTGAGTTTAGCACTTCCAGGCATCATGTGGGAGTCTCTAAACACCAGGCAAGCTCACAGGCCGGCAGCGTGGCAATTGCTGGGGCAGAGGCTCGGCCTTGAGCGCCAAAGGCTCCAGGCAGAGCCAGGGCATTGTCCCCTGGTGTGCAGCTGCCACAATTCAAGGGCCCTGTGCCCACATCTGGGGAAGAATGAAAAGCAACAGACATTCTGCCCAACAGCTCAAGATGGCACAGAGGGCACTACAGCTCATAGTAGCGGAAATGGGCCTGGGTAAGAGCCCCTCACAGGGTTGGAGGCCTAGGACTGGTATGAGGCCTCTTCACTGGACCTAGAGAGGTGA